TACTCACGTGGATTCTAAAATTCAAACTTATACTTATCATCATCTTCTGGAAATTGAATAATATATTGTAGGCAATTTTTTTTTAATAATTTTAGACATGTTTTATTTATAAAATAGTTTAGAAAAATTTTAGGTGACTTCACAGCTTTCAATGATGACATATAAAATTTTAAATACTTTACATACGTTATATCATATTTTAGGTATTTTTAATATTTTAAAGCTACATTTTTTATGTTATTTAATAGTACACAATTTTGAAAAGTCCGTTATAAATTGTATGTTGATATCCAAATCATTTTATAAATGCAATCGACTTTGTTAAATCTCCACGAAAATATGGTAAAACAAAATGAGACGATCAAATTTTTGTGGGAATAAAATAAAATTAATAAATCAATATGAAGTTCACAGGAAATTAACATAATTATTAATTTGAATAGTATACGGATCTTAAAAATAATACTCATCATCATCTTCTGCAAATTGAATAATATATTGTATGCAATGTTTTTAAATAATTTTAGACATGTTTTATTTATAAAATTTAGAAAAATTTTAGGTGACTTCACATCTTTCAATAATGATATATAGAATTTTAGATACTTCACATACATTATATAATATTTTAAGCGTTTTTAATATTTTAAACATATATTTTTTTATGTTATTTTATACAAGATAATTATATATTGTTTACAATTGATATACGATAAATTATGTCACATATTAACTCCACATCTTAATTATAATTATTAGTTAATATTGTTTACTTTCATATTTAATTTATAATTATTAGTTAATATTATTTACTATCATCTTTAATTTATAATTATTATTTAATATTGTTTATCCGTGCATCGCACGGGCTGCACACTAGTTTGAAAAAAGTGAATTACTAATAATCGCTCTCCTTTTACTATTTACCGTTCCCCCAAAAGACCATTTTGCCTTCCTCACTTAAAAATTAAATAATTTCTTTTTTTGCTTTGTAAGAAATTAAATTTAATATTTTTTTTTTCATTTCTGATGCTCGCCGGCCGGCCATCCAAACCGGTCGGTTATGAAGTGGCCGGCCGTTGATCGCGGCCTACTCTCGCCCAGTCGGCCCAAGGGCTGCGGCCGCACCCTAGGCAGCCGCCATAGCCGGCCGGCCAGACCCAAGGCCGCCTTCTTCAGCGGCCGGCCGTTCCCTCTCCGGCCGCCGGCCGACCGACTTTTTTTTTTTTTTAATTATTGTGATAATTTAAATATTGAAAAAAAAAATAGAATTCAATTTAATATTTTTATTTAGGTAGTTATTATTAAATATGTTACTCATAATAAATATGTTAGTTATAATTAATATATCATATATATTAGTGAAAATATAATTATCAAGAAATAATTACTTGTAATATTTAATAATGTAATGTAGGAAATAATAATAATTAATAATATTAATTTTGATTAATTTGCGTGAATATGATTAGTAATAATTGTAAGTATATTATAATAAACAATAAAACATATTAGTATTACAACTTTGTTAAAAAAAACATATTTATTACTTTATTAGAATCCTTGTTTTGTTTGACAAGTTATTTAGTTAGGGTTTTTGAGGTTCTATTTAAAAGACCGAGCTCTTGTATTTAACGATCGGTTGTTTATGATATAAAAAATATCTTCTTGATAGTTGATCTCTTCTTGTTTTCCTTGTCATGCACGCTCCCTGCGTCACTTTATTGAGTGAATAATTTTTTATTTTGAAATTAAATCATAATTTTTTTTCCAAAACGACATATAATATTATTAAAAAGTATAAATGTGCGAATATACAACAGTCAACGACAGAATACACATCAACCAACAACTGAAAATGTGGAAGGACAAGTTAGAAGACCGCCTAGAATCCCGACTAGCAACGCTAGAATAAAAAAATAAAAAGATTCGCAACTAAACTAAGCCAACAACTCACACAACTGAAACAACTAAAAAAACCCCCAACAGGGTAATACCTGAGTATCGGAAACAGGATAATAAGTTTGACACTGGGGCTCACAGGGACCAACGACCCAAACCAAAAACACAAGACACACACAACACAATTACAAAAACTAAAACAAGAACACAAAAACACAAAAACTAAATAAATCAATAGCCCTTCCCCAACGAACGAGTAAGCCCGGACCAGCAGTGAACGATTGACGCAAGACCAATCTAGGCCAAGCACTAGCTACCGAAACTGCAATCAAGCCTGTACAACAGCGGGACCCAAATCTCAAACCAGTCCCCAAATCAACCCATCGAGAACCGAGAGGGTCATAGTCCATCCCACTCTGATTCCATTCGAACTCTTCTAATACCACTAGACTGTTAGATTTTGATTAATTTTATGTCCCACATCGGAAGTGTACCAAAAATGTGTAGGATCTTTTTAGTATAAATAGGTCCCTTGCCTTTGGGTTACAATTGCACCTTATTCTATTCTCTCCTATTTAGAAGGAAATCCTTAATTAAGGAAATCCTATTTTGTGGGTTATTTAACCCTAGTTGTATTTTGTTGGTGAGTTTAGTAAATTTGGCGTTGCGGTTGGCGGTGCCCGGAGACGTAGGCTATTTTCGCCGAACTCCGTTATCAATTTTTGTGTTCTTTTATTTTTCGTCTTTTATTTGTGTTGGCTTATTTTGAAGTGGTGTTCGCCATATTCGTTGGAGGGGTATTTTTTGTTCGCTGCGCTTGTTGTGATACCCCAACATAGACGAGACCGATAGAACCTCCCACGCCGCCTAACACCACTAGTGAACGGGGAATTGAGCAAGAGAGAATAGCCCTCCCCCGACCGTCGCGACAAGGAGCGACGCGATAACCAGGGTCCCGCCCCACCCGACGATTCGCACACCACCCAGCACCACCGCAGACAACCAAAGACAATCGGCCCAACCCCACCAGAAAAGGGGGAGCGCCGCCGGAGAAAGCCAAATCTGGTACTCGCAGACAAATGGTAGAAAAACGGGGCTTACCGTCAATCGCCGGCCTTGCTTCGACCTCGAGGTGCGCCACCTCCGTCCGGAACTCCATCTACAACCACGAACCTGTCGCCCCGTCAATGGACCATCTGAAGCGGAAAAAGGGGCGCTCTTCGCCAGGGGGGGCCGCGAACGGTTGAGGACGACCCCTAGCCAAGCTTTACCGCCGCCGAGGAAGACGGATTCGCTGGAAATCGAGAGCTATGAGAAGTTAGGTTTTCGTCATCGTCTCGAGAGAATTGGGGCTCTCTTGATATTAATTAATGAATATTTAAAATATAATAATTAAAGTTGATGTGGTGTAAAAGTATAAAAATTATAAAAAAGCGATATGCAGTTAAAATTAGAGTTGGGTCAGCCTGGGGTTCGGCCCAATGGAGAAACCTAATCTATTTAACCTTCCAAACAGTTTTGGGATAATTGTGAACCTTTTAGAAGATGAAGCATTTCACGAGGCATTTGTTGGGGGTAGAGATGTTAAATGGTCCTTGGCCCGACGGGCCGGCCCGTTTAGCCCGAAAAAAAATAAGGTTAGGTCCTTTTATTAGTAGCCCGTTTAAATCAGAGCTTTTTTAGGCCCGGACCGTTTAGCCCGAAGCCCGCTACGGCTAGCCCGAAACCCGCTAGGGCTGGCCCGTTTAACTAGGGTTGGGCGGTAATATGCTCTTAAATTACTTGTATATTACAATTTTGGTTTTCCACTTCACATGTAAGTATGAGTTGTAATGAATTATTATGATTTTGAATGATAATTATTAATAATATTGTAATTGTAATTCATACGGAAATATTTAAGCCAATCAGAACGACTAATAAGAAACACATGAAACATAGTGATAGGCGGTAAATACTAAATAACCGTTGAAAACAATTTTTAACTAGCCGTTATTATTTTTTTTATATATTTTTTTTATTCTTTTTATTATTATTATTATTATTATTATTATTATTATTATTATTATTATTATTATTATTATTATTATTATTATTATAGCCCGCATAGCTCGTTTAGCCCGAAGCCCGCAAGGGCTAGGGTTAGGTCCTTTTTTTGGTAGCCCGTTTAAATCCGGGCTTTTTAGGCCCGAACCGTTTAACCCGAAGCCCGATAGGACTAGCCCGAAACCGCTAGGACTAGCCCGAAACCGCTAGGGCTAGCCCGTTTAACATCTCTAGTTGGGGGTACATATTGAGGATCAGTATCCGTATGTGCTCGCCCTCGTAAAGGCTTACTCAAACCAAAATAGTGACCTAGAATGAGTTGAGTGTCTCAGGAGAGACGCCGGATTGTGATTCGTTTTGCAACACGAAACAGATACCATTTACTTTATGAGTGAAACGTCGAGCATCATATTGGGGGTACTGGAGTAGTTTTCCTGAAGTTGCGTCGAGCGATTAATAGAAATGATGCAGCCAGGGAAGTTCCACGGGTGACTAGAATTATTAAAGTTGATGTTCCACCCTCTATCGAGGGCCTTAAAGAAGCATTGGCGACTAGGTTCGATGGTGATAATCATCAGAGTATGTGTGAACTGATAGATCGTGATAAAAATCTTTACAAGGTAGGCATCCCATCTTCCGACCCCACAGATACAATAAAATGGTTCGACATTGACTGGTTGGACGAGGAGGAATTCTGCATTGCTATGTCCAGTCACTATGAACACCCCGTACCCTGGTTGCAGTCCAGTGTGATTGTTCTTTCCAACCCCAGCTACTTGTACTGGGGTATGTTCAGATTTATTTTGTGATGTTGAACGTTTTATTTTTATTTTGTTGACGTTGGACGACGATAATCCCTCTCAAAAAAGTTGTGCAGAATGTTGCCAAAAACGTTCATACTTGAGATGTAAACAAGAGCATGAATGAAGTTACTTGAGATGTAAACAAGAGCATGAATGAAGTTGCATTATATATATAGTAGTGATGAAGAAAACAAACAATGAGCAAGTCCAACACATGGCCCGACTAACTTATATATGTTCCGACTTCTTTTAGAGTTGGACGCCAATCGGTTCGTAATCGACGGTGATGACATTCTCGAGTAGAGGTCGCAATATGATACCGTAGGCCTCGTGGTCGGGATGAGCAAGATACTCAGCTATGCCCTGTGTGCTCTCGAATGTGGACTCGAAGACGTGAGTGAAACCTTGATTTAAGTTCTCTACGCTCACATCTTTTCCCCTGCATATATCAACTCACAATTCAAGTTACAAAATACTAATTAGCTAATAATAACACAAATTTTAGCTAGTGAATAGAGAGTTACGTACCAAGCGAAGGACTTCATAGAAGGTATGAGGTTAACAAGGTTTGCGTATTGCTTTATGCATTCTTCAATCATTTGTTCGGACACTTCTTCTTTGAACTTTGCCAGCAGTATGTGCTTTACCACACCTGATTTCTTACTCTCTTCGGCCATTATTAATCTCTCTCTCTCTCTCTCTCTCTCTCTCTCTGTTATGTTGTTCTTTATTTCTATATAATAATTTTTTTTTTTATTTTATTAATTTTATTTATTTTCTGTGGTGTTATAATTAACTTGGTATTTTTGCTGGTGCACGTGCATCGCAAGCTGAATAATTCTTTTTTTTTTTTTTGAAGATGATGAATATAGTATTGGTGAAGATAATATGACATGAAATAAACGAGGGAGAAAATATGTAAATGCTACTCCACATAATGGTTGAAAATATGACCAAAAAGTGATGTGTGGGTTTTTAACAGTTGATTATTATAAAAGTGATGCGATGTATAAACTGATATAATCGTAACATGTGTTATTATGTTAAATTTTTGTGTCATCTCTTATATCACTGCAGCTTCAAATGTTATAACTACTATTGTGAAATTCCAATGAAATCGTTGAAATTTCGTTGGATTTTGACGATGCAAACGGCACAATGTTTTTCAATGGGTGAAATTATTTTGTGGAAAAAATAATTCCAATTAAAACAAAATTCAAAGAAAAATTTCTAAAACAACAAACTATTAAAATAAGTAATGTTGAAATCATCAAATTACAACTAGATTCCTAGATTAATCATCACTTAATTTATTACCCAATTCTATGACTTGACACACAACCAATAAATAATTTTAAGTGTTTACAAATTATTTTTTAAAAAAACTGAATTTCAAGTCAAAATATATTTGTTTTTATAAACGAATCAAATACGAATTAGAACTAAATTCACTGGTAAACACAAATATAAATACAAATACAAAATTCATTAGTAAACATCAATCAATATATAGTAAAAGCAGGCAAATCTATTGATGAATTCGAATCGAATGATTCAATATTCAAGTTGATTAGAATAAAACCCGAAAAAACGAGACTGAAAACGAGGAACTATTTAGTGGGCCTAAATTATAGTAACGATATTATACAAATGGGTCATATAACCGAATATAGAAATAACTTGAAGCCCATGAACTGATGAATGTCGGTTTTCGGGATCACATAGAAGAATATAAAATAAACAGAAACACTGACTCCGTGGCCCAATGGATAAGGCGCTGGTCTACGGAACCAGAGATTCTGGGTTCGATCCCCAGCGGAGTCGATTTTTCAATTGACTCTTTTTTTTTTGAAATTTTATTTTTATCAACAAAAAATAGTTCAATCTTTTATAAATTATGTTTGTGCTTGGTAAAGTATATATATAAACTACCTTATAACTTTTTTTATTAGCTTATAAATTTTCTATATTAAAATAAGGTTAGTTTAATAAGATGAGTTTTTTTTTATGAAAAAAAAACACTCGAGTTTATATGATAAGTTTCCTTAGATAGTTTTTCAAAGAAGCTCATTGAAATTTTTATTTCAGCTATCAACTAATTTTACCAAATATTTTTCTCATAAGATAGTTTTCAGTCAAAAGTTATCAGCTATAAGCTCGAAGTTCACTTAAAAATTATAAACTAATTTATTAGCTATGATCTAACTTATCAGGTAGGTTCACCAACATAGCTTTTATGAGGTAAGTAGTGTGTTCGACTAGCTTGACTTGTCTGCACCAAATTACTTATATATATCCACTCAAAATGAGTTTTTTTTTTAAAAAAAAAAAAAAAAAAAAAGTGATATGGTTGTATACAAAATTCTCAAAAAAATCCAACTATTTTATCTCAACCTTAACTCAACACTTTTTATCTCAACCACACTGCCATCAATATTATCAATATAATTAAATAATCTCAATCATGTATTATTACACACCACATCAAGTTTAATTCATTATTCATCTAACACATAATTTTAACTAACAATTATTTTCATATCACCTCTATCTTACTTTCACATCAAATCAACTTTAATTGTTTTATTTTAAATATTATTTCTACTAACTTAACAATATCACATTTTTTAAAATTAACCAAACTAAACCAAAAAATCCAAAAACCAAAATTCTTATATACACATTTCCATAAAATTAAAATATTAGCAAAAATGTGTCACAACTTATTAGACATGAGCTTTCAAGCCTAGCTAGAAGTATAAATCTTAGAGTGGGGGCCGGATTGGAAAATGGGTAATATATATTGATAGTTTATAGAGTTAGCCAAAGTATGAGATATTTATTAGAAAAAAATTATACTATACCTAACTATTCGGAAATTTACACTTTGTCTACAAAACTTTTTTTTATACTTACCTACCTAATTTTGATTTTTTGTACACTTTGCCATTTTCGGTCACCGCCGGCCTCATAAACCAATATGTGACTTTTGTGCCTTATTGCTACATGTAGCCGATAGTCACTGAAAATGACAAAGTGAAAAAAATCAAAGTTAAGTAGGCAAAATGTAAAAAAAGAAGTTTTGTAGGTAAAGTGTAAATTTTCGGATAATTAGATAGACAAAGTGTATTTATTCCTATTTATTATTACGCTAAATTCACATTAATGAAGTTACTGCTCATGCTATGAGCTATATAAACTATATTTTTAGCATAATAAGTGGCCATCAATTTGAAGCTAATTTTACTGTCTTTTTTTTTTTTTTTTTTTT